CCACCATAGGGGGGCTCAAATACAATAGTGACATTTCTCTGCCTCCTCTTATTTGTGTTGGTTCAACAATGCTCTGGATGATCTATATTTAGTGTTCAACATATAATACAAATGACTTCCTTTAATTGAAACAGATAAAATTGCAAGCTTAAAAAGATGGACCTCAATGCTAACAAAAGCACTTTGGCAGTCTCATCTCACTCGAGGGGCACCTCTTTTTTAGCTGGTCTTGAAAATAGTTATGAGGTTTGTTATAAATCTTCGAATATATGTAGCCATCATTTAGAGATACTTCAACTCTCATCAAATTTCTCAAGAGTGACATCTCTTACATTGCGTTGATCGTGATAGAATCCATCGCTACCATTTCAGATGATGAATCCTATGAATTTTCCCGATCTGATGCCAAAGATTCATCTCCATTAGTCGGCCAAAAGCTTCTGAAGACGGTGCTCTGATTCCTGATATGGTTTCTCCGAGCTTTTAATTTGACAACTAGATCATCTAGGTAACACTATGCCACATTGTGCAGGAGCTCATCAAAGATGATAGTTGTCTGGTATAAGGTATCGAAAAGTCCAAAAGCCAGCCCAAATCTGTCCATTCTTCTTCATAACCAGGACTGTTTTCAATCAACCGCAAAAGGTAAAAGGTACCACTGTTATGAATTCAACTTTTGTGAATTGTCACTATTGGCTTTTACCCGAGCCACCGGTTTTGGGCGATGCTACCGTTCACCTTGCTTAACTTGCTTGGTGTTCGAGTCCATTGCTAGCTTATGTGTTGGCACATCAATGTCAAATTCTGGCATCTCCCGATGTGCCCAACATAAATCATTCTCAATGAAAGATTTATATCACTCCCTCGTATAGGTTGCACTTGAAAATGTGGGTTTTTGAAATGGTTCTCATTGTTGAAGTTGATTTTTACCATCCCATTAACTATGTTTTACAGACATAGTTGGAAGTAGTGAAAAAATATATGGGAGTTATGGCTGAGGAGATGGCTCTTGATAGGAAAAATGGCAGATTACGATTCGTGTAGCCAACCCCAATTAGGTGGAAAAAAGTTTTGACGATGATGATTAAAGGGTCGTTTGGATCCTAAGGTAAACAAAACGTGGTTTTGTAAAACCATGTTATCACACAAAAAACATTGTTCGGCAAGTTTTTGGATACATAAATCATCGTTTATGTAACTAAGAAAGAGGGCCAAAATATGGGTATACAAAACTAAAAACAAAATTGAGTTATCTAAAACATTATTTTGTGTAAGCATGAAAGAAGGAATACAATTTGCGACAGTATTATTTTCATACACCAGAGCTGCTCACTTTATTAAATACGATTAATTATGCCAAAACATCCACATAAATTAGAGAGAGGAACCACCTCAAATTTTAAGTTTTAGAGAGAGAAAGTATCTTAAAAATTTTAAAAAGATAAACTATATCAAAAAAATTTGAGTGAGAAACTATTAAAAAAATTTAAAGAGAGAAATTATCTCATAAATTTTAGAGAGATAAACTATCTCAAATTTTAAGTTTTAGAGAGATAAAATGTCTTAAAATTTTAGAGAGAGAAACCATATCACATTTTAGAGAGATAAATTGAATAAAAAATTTAGAGAGAGAACCCTTCTAAAAAACTTTAGATAGAAAAATTATATCAGATTATAAATTTTAGATGAATAAAATATCTTAAAATTTTAGAGATACAAAATATATCAAATCCTAAATAGAGAAACTACTCCGATTTTTTTGAAAAATTTAAATTGTGTAAAATTCCCAAAAAAAATTGTATAAATTTGTAAAAAAAAAGTTTAAAATTGTGTCTATTATTATTTTTATATTGTCACATAAAATTAGCAAAAAATAAAATATATTATAGGCATAATTATGTTTCGAAAAAAAATTATATACTTGAAGCAATACTTTTTCAATGAACTAATAATTGAAGGAGATTACATAATATTACACAAGTTTGCTGCATGCCACTGAACTACCCAAGAGAAAAGAAAATGGATTGACCTATTTATTCAGCCAAAAAAAAAAGCAAGACAACTTCAAAACACCGGCCCCGCTTTGGTCGTATACTAGTAGAAATTGAATCTCAGATGGAGATACCAACAATTGAATTGATAAAATAAATCTAATAAAATTGATAAAATAAATCTAATAAAATGATTGACACAAGCTAAAATGTATGTCTTGGATATGAGAATATTATCATCATGCCTAGCTGTTAGACGAGTGATCGATAGGCTAAGGGCATGCCGTAATTTTAAAGGAACTTTTTGTTTTTTTTTTTTACTTTAAAGGTACGCCTTCTAGTCACCCAAATTTGCATGTAACCATACTTTACAAAAAGTATACACTTTTATTGTATACTTAAATAAAAAAAATGTTTATATAAGGGTGAGGCCCTAAACAATCAAACTAAGGTATAACTCAAAAGTTCACAAAAAAATGTTGTTTTGATGCTAAAAAATCTTCAAATCGATCATCTCGACCTCAAGATATATAAACATGAGAAAAATTGGATTTTTTGTCTCAGAAATAGTGCATCATGTAATGCATTTTTTGGATCATTAATTTCAATATTTTCAAGTGTTCATAGATCTGCTAGATCTACATTATTTTTCAGGCTTTAAATTTATTATTAAATATAAAAATAAATTTTCAGGCCATCACAAAGATTTCCGGTACTAAACCAGCTTCTTTAGACACTATTTGAAAGTATGTCTTACTTTGATTGTTTAGGACCTCAGCCTTATATAATCCACACCCCTTAAAACCCATAAAGAAAAAAGTTTATTTAAAGGTGAGGGCCTTAACAATTAAATTAAGGCACCTAAAACATCCAATGGAAAAGGTTATTTTTGATGCCTCAAAATCCTCAAATAGATCATTTCGATCTCAACATGTATAGACATGAGACAAAATGGATTCTAAGTCTTGAAAATAGTCAAGTAATGTACTTTTAGACCGTCAATTTTTAATATTTTTCAAGTGTTTATAAATTTTTCACTGTAACAGTGCACAAATTGGGCGATCTTTACAACAAATCGGCCGATTTGTGCCGATTAGTGCACTATATGAAATTTTCATATTCATAACCTTTGATATCGGGCCAACCCTTTAGTCGGTCAATTTTTAAAAACTCGGTCGATCGTTTGATCACTGGTTTTCACCACAATAAGCAAAAAAAAAAAACTTTTTTTTCTTGTATGCATAAATTAGACAAATTCACAAACCTTATCATAAATCTTGGAACCCTAAATTTCTCTAAAAATTTGAAAATTAGTGCCAAAAACACTAATAACATAACCACAATCAAGTACTCTGAACTGGCCAATGTTATTCATAATAAACCCCACTAATTGAAACCGTATCACGGATATCATAAAGAGCAATGATCCAAATGCATATGTTGTAGCATAGTCTAATGCAACGACAACTCTAGTAAACTATGTTTGTGGTATCTGTATGACCTCAAATTTTACACACACACTCTCTTCATCTCAATAATCAATCCCACCGAAAAAAAAAATTCAATTTGAAGCCTAGATATGGTCAAAATGAGTCCCTTCCATAAATGAATATAGACCATTCATTTTGTGAATTTCAATATCTTAGCCTTTATAAACTCAAAATCATTATTTTCTTTTTTAATATTGTTCATCTAATGATAATAAAGCCATAAAAAAATATTGGAAATGAAAAAATTCTTCTAAGTCCTAAATCTAAGCATCTCACCAAAATGAACGATCTATATTAATTGGGCTAAAAAAATACTTTCTAGATTGTGTTTTTAATTTTTTCTTTTTTTGTAATTGTTCATTAAAATGAAAATACTATACATTTCAAAATTTAGATCAAACAAATAGCAATAACATAGTCTTTTAACGTTATTGTGTCATATTACTATACAACGATTGTATGATGTTATTGCTCAATCAGAAAACCCATTAAATATTTCACATAAATCATAGGACCCATTGTAGAGGGAGAAAATAAAAGAAAGAGAGACTAACCGGGCGGGGCACAATATGGACTGGTTAATGGGTCGTCGTCTCTGAACACCAAATGGCTGATGGTTAATGGGTTGTCGTCTCTGAACACCAAATGGCTGAAACAAAGGCTTGGCAACCCAGAGGTACTAAACTACCAAGAGGCCATGAATTAATGAGGTCTTTACTCAAAACCACATATTGAACCAGTGTGCCTTTTTTTTCGATTTTAGATAGGTTTTTCTCCTCCTCCTTTGGTTTGATCGAATTCATGGCACTTATGGTGAAAACACTTGAAAATTTCTGTGGAGAACAATAGAAGATCACCTTTTTACGCCTGCAAATGGGGAGAGAATTACGGGAAAAAAAAGAAAAGAAATAACATTGGATTGAGGAAGAGAGACAGGAGGGTTTGGCATTTGGGATGAGAAGAGCAAATGAAGGTGTGGATCTAAATTAGACACAATCGGTCGGATCTGGATCGAGATTGACCCACACTGGATTTACAGCCTCGGATACTTTTTTAACCCCTAAAAAAAAAAGGAGGGACTTTTGTGGGATTTACTAAGCCGGGATTTGCTGATCCTCTGCCATAAAAGTATTTATTACTTGTAATTATAATCGAAGTTAGAAGTGAATAATCAGGTGAAAGCCATGCCTTCCCTCATCTTTTTCTCCTTCCATTCCGAGCTTAAATAGCTAGGAGGTAGCATTAGAAGTCCTTGCCATATATTTATCCTCATACAAATTGATCACAACTTAAAAGAAATAGCTCAATACATTGAGTCGGAAAAGAGGTTGGGGTCGTGGTACCTCCACACCCTAATCACCACATTGTAGTTCTTAGATTTTCATTTCCAGTGGCTTTGCCCCACTAACACCTTAAGAAAAAACTAACTCCTAAACTATTTGAAAAAATGGGTAGAGACGTGTTTTTCCCACTGAACTATCCAAAAAAACAAAAATTCAATATATTGAGTAAAATACAAAGTAATCATTACATATCATTCTCTATCAAACCTCAACAATTAAGCCAGGATTTCTCAAAAACCATTAAGTGAAGTTTACAAAGAGACTACAGAATTCTAAGGAATTATACCATACGCCATTTTCTGGTATTACAAAATCCACCACAAGAGCATCTACCATCTATTCCAGTGACAAATGGTGGATATCAATAATATGGAATTCATGGGCTATTACAGCTGACCACAGTTGATCTCCACCATTCATTGGTAAAATTCACGAGGTCACAGATTGGGCTGAATGGGGTCAAGGGTGAGGAGGAACTTCCACCTCCACTGTGCCCTCTAACATCAAGACCACCGTCTTCATGGATGGCCTCAATGCGGGTTCTTCCTGAATACACCATACCCCCACCATGATCATCCTTTCCAGACTCTTCTTCTCCTCTCCAACCTGCAATTCGTTTGGAGCTATCAGTTTCTCCAAGCAACCATCTTGAAAGCATTTGTAAACCCAATCTGAAAGTATTAATTCATCCTCAGGGCCATCCACCATTAAGCCGTTTCTGCAACAAATGATCTCCAGTAGCATTGCACCATAGCTATACACGTCCACCTTAGCAGTGACGGGAACATTCCTGAACCATTCTGGTGCCACATACCCTCTAGTTCCTCGAGCACCCGTTGAGGTACTTGTTTGATCAGGCTCCAGAAGCTCTGCCAACTCAAAATTTGATATTTTAGCCGTTTGAAACTCATCCAAGAGTATATTTTGAGGCTTTATATCACAATGTATAATTTGGGTCACACACTCTTCGTGCAAGTATAGGAGTCCACGAGCGATGTCAAGAGCCATCTTTACTCTGCCCTCCCAATTGGGTCGCTTTTCTTCATTGAATAAGAGCTTTGCAAGAGATCCATTACTCATGAACTCATAGACTAAGAGCCTGTGAGAACCCTCGTCACAAAACCCAAATAATTGAACCAGGTTCTTGTGATGGGTTCGACCACTCACATTCATCTCGGTTCGAAACTCCTTCTCTCCTTCTTCTTCGAGTCTGTCCAGCTTCTTTACTGCAACTTCATCATCATTGCATAAACTCCCTTTGAATACTGTCCCAAATGTGCCTTTTTCTAGTGCTTCTGCAAAGCCCCTAGTGGCTTCATAAAGCTCGCCATAAGAAAAAGATCTCAAATTCACTTGTTTTTTCAGAGAACGGTTACTCGAAATCCTGTAGTACCTTCCCATTCTTGGTCGATAGGCAAGAAAACCAGAGAGTGCTAAAGAAAACACAAGACCACTTCCAAGTGCCAAGCTAATGGGGAACCACTTATTAAAAGGCCTATCTAGATCCCTCTCTTTAACTGAATCAGTTGAGTTTCCTGATAAGCAAGGAGGATGAGGAGGAGGATTTTCAGGCAAAATACTGGATGAACTATTAGTGGTCACCTTGTATGGAACCCTGAAGAAAGCCTTCACTGAATCAGAAGTTCTTTTTCCATATCTCAAAGGGGATTTCATTATAGCACACTTTTGAGAATCAAAGAGAGCAGCCATGCATGTGCAATTGTCAAGACAAGTCTCTTTGCAATCATCTTCAGTCACAATATCATTATGGTATTCAGGGCCTTCCCATATGATGTTTTCAATAGATTGGATGGTGAAATTATACTTTCCATTTTCACATTCCCCATCTGTGAAGCTCCTTGCACAATCGAGGAATGTTCTCTCAGGGCCAGGTGCACTAAAACCAGGAGCACATCTACAACTTGGGTATCTCAATTCCTTCAAAAAACAGTAGCTATTAACCCCACATATCCCCTTCACAGCACAAGACGCTTCAACAGCTGACCAAATGATAGATGAATTCAGGCTACCATTTTTTTCAAGGCCATGAGAATATAATTCAAGCTTTCCCTCAGAACTTAATGTCATCCTATACATCAAGCTTGAATCTTTGCTTTCTGAGATGTTTCTTGCAGAGTAACCAGAAGAATTCATGAGATATAAGTGGCCATCTGAGTCTAAATTCAGTGTTAAATTGTTACCTTGGCCATTGGTTCCAGTGGCCCAATAAGCATTATCAGCTGTATCATTGGTGTTTATCGGATAAAGCACCAGATTCCCATCTTTTTGCATTTTGAGCCTGAACTTACCAGAGGAGAAGATGGTATCAGAGTAAGAAGAGAGGAGCTCATAGCCATTTAATAGCCTTTGGCCACTCACGATAGTATCGGTCGGCATATCAAAGCTCTGCCATATAACTTGGGTGTGTCTGTAAAGAACAAAGTTGCCATTATCGAAAATTGCAGCTGAAGTTGCCGAAATTGAATTGTTTGTGATGGGTTTTTCTTGGATTCCTCTGTTTCTGAGTAAGAGTTGGCCACTGGTTAGAATGATGGAGGTTCCATTGCGACGAGGAGGATCATCTCGATTTGCAGTCCAAATCAGTGTTTTTTCAGGGGTTCTGGTCATCCAAACTCCTATCATGAAGTGTTGGGGATTACTGAGAGGGTAGAAACCAAAAGCAAAATTACCAGAAGGGGAGAGCCAGTAACTCTGATTGTTACCAGCTGGGGTTGTGGAGAGAGAAGAACCCAACATAATTTTTCTGAATGGGTGAGTGGAAGGAGAAGGCATGCTTAGGATTTGAGTTGTTGAAGCCATGCCTGTACTTTGGAGAGAGGAGGATTGTGTTGAAGAGAGAGAAAGAATAAGCAACAATGAAAAAAGGAAAGAAAAAAGAAGAGGAAATGTGGCCATTGAGGAAACCATTAAAGACTCTGCAAATTTTTTGCAGTTGGTCTACTGGTTCGTTGGAGAAAGAAAGGGAGAGATGCGTTTAAAACGACAGATGAGTCCAGTACTCTCGCAATTCTGGACGTCTTTTAGGGGGTAAAGGACTTTGGAAAGCACTTTCATGGAAAAAAACACAGGTCCAGCAAAACCGTGTGGAAAGGAAGAAAAGACCACAAAAAGGAAGTCGCTTGTTGTCGTAGAGTGGTGCAGCGCATTGACGAAGAATAAATTTTTCAATTTTCATTCCCACTCCCATTAAACTATTTGAAACAAGACCATTTGTTTTCCCACTGAATTACCTAAAAATAAAATAAAATCAAGAGATTATATTATATGATCATATAATAGCCACTGCTTAGAAATTATCTTGGAAGCATGTTTTAAATTTTAAAGTTGAATAGCTTTTGACCATATTTAGTTGATATAAATACCTAAATAATTTCTTAAACATGCATATTTCATATGATTTTTTTTACTACATGTATCTTACATATAAATATAAATAACATCGTAATATATTAGTAATATGGACATCTTGAGTTTTGTTGTTAATATCAACTCCCTTTGAAAGATTTAATAAATATTTCAGTTTTTTTTTTTTAAGGTTATTTTAATTTTATAAATGAGGTCAGATTTTTTAAAATAATACAATTAGAATAATTTTATTTTAAAATAATAATTTTAATAAAATCTATTAATAATTTTTAAAAAATATTTCTAAGTATTTAATATAAATGTCAATATTTGTAATTTTTAAATAAAAGTTTGGCTTTCTGAAACACCCATAATTAAAATAATTTCATTGTGTGATCACAATTTAAAAGTCGGTTCTTTAATATTTGATTAATAATTCTAAACTACATTAAGATTATTATACTGTACATAAATTTTTAACCATCATTTGTAATTCACATAGAACCATATTTTAAATTAGAATTTAGCAAAGCTCATAATTAGAATTTTAAAAAATAGGTGCAAATAAATTATTAAAATAATTTTTTATCAATTTTTAGATTTGAAAATTCAAATTTTCACAAAATGGTGAGTGGATTAAAATATATAATAACTTATTGACAACATTTATAATTCCACCTTAATACAAAAATAGAGCTTGAAATTGTGAATTTAATTATATTAAAAAAATAATATTAAACTTCTTAAGGCCACTTAGAAACAAAAATTTATCTATTAAAATAACATTTGTAAAATCAACTTTGAGGGGTGATTCGATAAATTACATTTTAATTTATAATTATTTTTAGTTGAAGGAAATACATAGAATTATCCACATTTTTAATTATCCATCCATCACTTTGGGTGATAAAATAAAACGCGTTTTTTTTTTTGGGGGTAAATCAGTGAGGGAGAAGGCACTCTACCCCTTTTTCATTAATAAAGAAAAGTAGAAAAATTACATTGTACTATCTTACAGCCCTACAATAAGATAATTGCATCACATCATGAAGAAGATGAAGGTTAATAAAATCTAGAGGCCTAGAGTGCCAAATGGTGATTTCCGTAAAAATTGTAACATTTTTGGCAAGAGCATTAGCCACCATATTAGCCACACGGTAAACATGGCAAATGGACCATGAATGATTCTCAAGTCTAGACTTACAATTAGCATTTATGATATGAAGAACCCATGAAGCTTTACACCTGCCCTGTATGACCTGAACAAGTAAAGGATAATCACTCTCAATTTACAAGGGAAAGCATTCCATTTGAATAGCTAAATCAATACCGTCTTGTAAACCTCAAAATTTTGCATAATTATTGGAAGCAATTCCAAGAGGAACTGAGAAAACAGTATCAAAAGATCCATCATCCCGTCTCAAAAAAAAACGTGTTGTGTTAAACTATTTGATTTGTAAAATTACTTGATACAAATACATGATGCACTATAACTTGTATAATTCATGAATTATAATAAGTTTCCTAATTATCATATGATTTTGAACCCTCATGTCATCATTGACTGCATATATTTGACTATATTGATTTCCATTATTCTGACAAAATAAATTTTTCTTTATGCGTAAACTTTGGTATAAATTTAATTTTGTATGAATTAGTACTTTTATCAATTAAGTTACAACTATATCGGCATATGCACGTGCAAACTTGTGTATATCAAGATAAAGAGGGGAGGGAAATATAGATTTAAGGAGGGAAAACAAAAAGAACACGATTTCAGAGAGAGAATTGAAGTGCTCTTTTTAGAGAGAGAGAAAGTAAATATCTAAAATAGACATACCAGTGGGAATTTGGTAAGGGCTTTTCCATTCTTATATTTTTTTAGCATTATGATTTACTTGGCTTTAACACCATACGATAATAGTTTCTTATGTGTTATAATTTACTTGGCTTTTTCAAACTTATTCGATTCTTATAGTTTCTTGGCATTATAATTTACTTGGTTCTAACACTATACAACCGTATTTTAGAGTAGGTTACCATGTTTTATACATGTGGGATTCCCCTATCCGTAATATCAATTTGCGTGTATATTTATATATTATTTATTTAAAGAGTTATGCCATCATGAGACCCTCCTACACCCATGTGAGTAAAACTTCAAATGATCACCATTAAATTTTAACACAACTTTTTAGAAAAATTATTACATGGGTGTGGGACTTGGATAAATGGGTTTATTGATAACTTTTATAGAGATCAGTGTCAAAATTTAATAATAATCCTTTGGGGTCCTACTCATATGGGGGTGGGAGGATCTTATAGTATCATTACTCTTATTTAAATCATACTTTCTCAAAAAATTGTTGCCTTTAAACTCTATAATTAAACAATATATCTAGTTAAAATAAATTCTACACTCAAGTTAACTTCTTTGAATTAAATTTACACAAGTTTAGTGGATAGCAAAATATAGTGCCAATGCAAAAATGACACATTGCACTACTCTAATATTAATTAAAGGTAAATTTATAATTAGGGGTGGCAATGGACCTGGACTTGACCGGAGAACCGACGGGTATACCAAACACGGGTCCAGGTATGGATCCAACATTTTGACCCGTGGGTCAAGTCTGGGTCCAAAACCTGGACCCGACCACTATTCGGGTACGAGTCCGGGTCCTGTTGGACTGGACCCATATCTGACCTATACCCATAATTGTTGGAGATAAAATACTTCAAGCCCTATTTGTTTTGGTGTATTAAATATCATATAAAATTAGAATTAGTAGTCATCTTTAAGTATTAAATAACAAGTCAGATGAAATCTAATAGCAAGTGATTGTGACCTTGTTGCTAATAATATGGATATATGATAGTAAAGAAATGACAAAAAAAAAGAGCTCATAGTGATGGTGGCAATGGAACCAACCAGACTTGGGACCCAATGGGATAGACCCGAGAGCTGACGGGTACGGGTATGGGTCCAAGTTTTGGACTCGATAGGTTGGGTCTAAGTTTTGGAATACATTTGGGTCTGAGTTTGGGTCCGAGTCCAGCTGGACCCGACCCATTGCCACCCCTACTTACAATGCAGTCTAAAAAAGACCGCAATAAAGAAGTTTCTTTTTTCAACTTCTAATAAATCCAAACCACACATCCCTTTATACTCTATAATGAAACAACAAAACAAATTTAAATAAAATTTATCTACATTTATGTCAACTTCTTTAAATTGAGTTCCACACAAGTTGAGTGGGTAACACAACATAGTGCCACTGCGGCCATAAATAAAAATGATGCATTGTATTGCTTCAAGGAGTAATTTATTTAAGATTAATACTTCTTTACAAGAAATCAAGCATAAGTTATGCGGGTAATACAACATAGTTCTACTACAAAAAAGACACATTGCATTGTAGTTAAGATTAATATAAAAACACACATTTTAATAAAAATTAAAGCAAGTATATTAGCTATATACTATTGGGTGACTACTTCATGGATGTTGAAAGGTCATAAGTTACTTTAAAGGATTTTTTTGGTAATTTAATTTAAAGGATTTGAAACAATCCTCATGCATTTGTATGTATAAAAATGGATATTTAATAACATGGCCAATCCACAAAACATAGAATATGGTTACAGATAAAAAAAAACATGTTTACAAAGAGAAAAATAGATACGATGATATTGCAGTTGGAAAAAATGGATGTCATTATAGAGAGAGGAGTTAGACACAAAAAGGGTGTGGTTAGATATTAGGGACTTAGATAAATGACAAAGTCAAGATATTGTTAGAGAGAAAATACATGGTTACATAGTTGTTCAAGGTAGATTGAATTCAAATCACGTGCAAAGCACGAGCACTCTACTAGTGATGATAGAGTGACTCAGAAACAGAAGCCCCTATATAGACTAGTGTTATGCACGTAATCTGATTTAGTTATAATGGAATAAATTTTCATTTTGAAATAACATTTTCAAAAAGGCATTATTTGATTATTAAGTTGTTTTAATTGAAAAATAAAAATTAATTATATTCATGATAATTATTTTTGACAAATACTATTAATTAATATAAAATATAAAAGTTTCATTATTTATCACTAAATTGATATATTTATCACTATAGGATCAAAACATAATAAGTACTATTTAATTCATATACTGATAATTAATTGATAATGCTAAGTAATTATTTACCTGAAATTTCCCCTGCAAATCATAGAGAAAGAGGACATGAGAAAAAAAAAGCAAGATAGTGTGGACAGAGAGATAGAGAGAAAAAAATAGATATATAAAACACAATCTTCAGCTTCCGTGAGGGAAAGAGAGAGAGAGAGAGAGAATGGGAGACAACAAAAAATGGGAGGAGAGATTTAAAGAAAGAGAGAGATAACTAAAGCTATTTTTAATTATAAATATATATTATTACAAAATTAGATAATATGAGAATACATAAATATGTCATACGATAATATAATAAACTCATAATAAAAATACTCAACACTAAAGAAGAGAAAGCATGTATGTACTTACTTGTTCCTCTTGAAAGCTTTAGGAACCAATTTGTATCAGAAAATATTCAATATAAAGTAAATTTATGTAAACCAAATGAATATCCCAGTTCAAGTTAATATGAAACAATACATGCCTGATATATTCAGTCAGATCATCTAGTAAGCAGATAAAAGG